GGTCCGAATCTACCAACAGATCTCGACATTATTATGTTGGCACGGTATCAAAGTAACAGGAAATTTCATTGACCCGTGTGAATCTACAACTGCATGTTACATTATTCTAAATATTTGAACACCTGTTCTTATGGGCAGTGTGTATAATTCTCTGCATAACTCAAATAATAATAATAATAATAATAATAACCCTGGATAATTGACACAGCACCGTTGTCTGTCTGTATCTATATATGTTTTGATCTTAAAAAACTACGCGGATTTTAATGCTTTTTTTAATAGACAGAATAGTTAGTGACTCGAAATATCTCCTTTGTAAAGTAAAGTAAACACTCTATCCTGAGGAGATAAAAACCATCGCTCCTAAGAATATTCTTCAACTCTTGTTCCTGACGGATACTGTAGGTTATGTTGCGATCTTTGGAAAAGGGCGAGCACAATAGATCTATGTAGGTTGCAGTGTTACAGGTCTAAAGCATCTGATAATAGCCGAAACCCCTCAATAAAAAAATTCTCTTTCTGCTGCAAGATGGGCCCAGCATCCGCATGCTGAATGGTGAATCCATGGAATGGAATGGAATTTAAGTTTATTTTTCTAAAATAAGTAGCCAAAGTTACTCCTTAGTACATTAGCTACCTGCCAAAAAAAAGTCCCGTCAAAAACGGTCCAGCCATTTCAGAGATTAGCCGGAACAACAGTTAAACAGACAGACAAAAATTCTAAAAAATGTTGTTTTGGTGTGTGAGTACTGTATTTATATTCATACGCATATAGTAAAAATGGTTATTTCAATATTACAAACAGACACTACAATTTTATTTATATGTATAGATAAACGCAAAATGTTGTGACTATGGATGGATGTTTGTTACTTTTTCACACAGAAACTACTGACCGGATTTCGATGAAGCTTTACAGTAATATAGCTTATACATTAGAATAACATATAGGCTTTAAATTTCACGCGAATAAAATCGCGGGCACAGCTAGTCATTACATAGTATAAAACAAAGTTGCTGTCGCTGTCTGTCCGTCCCTTTGTATGCTTAAATCTTTAAAACTACGCAACGGATTTTGAAGCGTTTATTTTAATAGATTGGGTGATTCTAGACGAAGGTTTATCTAGACACGCGGTAGCATGTCCAGCCGAGTTTCGAGTAAGAGAACTGGCAAGCACCACCGTGTGTATATTTACCGCCACTTTTGACCCCCTTATAACTCAAAAACTCTTTCACATAAACCTGTCAAATTCATATATTGAGACTTGCGAGATAAATATGTGTTCCAAATTTCATAAACATATCTCAAATGGTTATTTAGATATTAACGTCCAAATATCGTCATTTTTATCACTGATCAACTATAGATCAAAATTATAACCCACTTCCAGATGACCTAGGAAGTTCAAATTTGGCATGCAGATAGGTAATTAGGTGAATATAAAGGAAAAATCTGAAACTGGTAAATTGTTATCATATATATAATACATGTACACCCATGCGAAGATGGGGCGAGTAGCCAGTACATAATAAATTTAAAAAATTATGATCACTTTTTTATAATTACAATGGTTATTAGTGCACAAAAGAAAAAGTTTGTCCAATTGCAGTAGTAGGTCAATATGATAATTAAGTCTGCAGTTTTTAAATATTTAAAGCATTTTGTGTTCATATATATTTAATCTTTGTATCTCTGTGATAAGGTGTAAATTACATTGTAGCTAATCATAACATACATTATGTAGATATAAGATAGTATTATATGTTTTGGTACTTTCTTTGATCATGCATATAAATAAATAACCCAATGAACAATTAATTAACACAGCATCTAAACAACTGATATAAATACTTACATTTTTTTTTGTAAATACATACATAATATACATAGAAAACACCCAGACTGATATAAACAATCGTAGTCGAGGCATTGAACCTGCAACCATCTGAAGTAAATTGGTGCTTAACCACTAAACTACTGAGGTCATTGATGAAATATGTTTCCAACTAGCTGTGCCCGCGACTTTGTCCGCGTGGAATTGACGAGAAATGCCGAATTTCCATAGAAACAGTCATCTCTTATTTTACTTTCAAAGTAAATTTTTTTAAACAACAAACAAACTTTGAACGTCTTATTTATTTATATTTAATCAACAGCGTGTGTAGCTCTTTATGGTAAAAATGGTATCCACCTTTACACATCCTTTCACATCCCCTTTCAACCCCTTACAACCCTTTTTTAGCATTAATAAGTAGCCTATGTCCTTTGTCAGGGTCTAAACTATTTGTGCACCAAATGTAATATAAATCTGTTCACTAGTTTTGGCGTAAAAGCAATAAAGACAGACAGAGTTACTTTCTCATTTATTATATTAGTAAGAATATAGTATTGTATAATATACACCCAAATAAATAAACTATTATGTTAACAGACTGACTATAAAAAGAATAAGACATGTTTCTAGTCTTATTTAAAGTTTCTTAAAAAGTTAAATATGTTCTGAACTTTATATATATATATATATATGTAATATTAATATTAGATTTAAACACACACTGGCTGATCCTAAGTATCAAAGTAAACAGCGGTTAAAAAGGTTGCCTGCAACAACAGGTTGTCTTATCTATACATACAAATAAAATTGGAGAGTCTGTTTGTAATATTGAAATAACCTTTTCTTACTACATGCATATGAATATAAATATGGTACATAAACCAAAATAAGATTTTTTTCAATTTTTGTCTGTCTGTCAGTCTTTTCAGAGATTAGCCGGAACAAACAGACTGTCTGTTTGTTCCAGCTAATCTCTGAAATGGGTGGACCGATTTTGACGGGGCTTTTTTTGGCAGGTAGTTGATGTAATAAGAAGAAACTTGGCTACTTTCATTGTAGAAAAATAAAGTTAAATTCCACGCGGACGAAGTCGCAGGTGCAGCTAGTAATAGCTAACATATAATATGAAGAAAATCTTGTTGGCCAACAGTAAAGTGAACATTCAATTTGATTATCTTAATTATAAAATTCTGACAAATGACTCATGTTCACCTTGATGGTGCATCTTAATGGGACAATGATAAGGAAAGGGCAGACAATACTAATATATGCATACAAATATTATCTTAGGGGCCATCCATTCATCACATGATCTTTTTTAAGCATTTTTAACACCCAACTAATATCAATTATTATTAAATAAACTTAAGTTTACCATGATAAAAATAGACATAAAGGTTGCAGATTGTTTTTGATTGGTATATATATACTGCCCTTCCCCCTTTATTTCGTGATTTTCGTCTACGCTTTAAGTCTCAAGTGATTAATGGATGCCCCCAATACCAATTATTATTAAATAAACTTAAGTTTACCAATAATAAGTAATGTGTATATATAAACACCATAGCAAATATGTTGGATTGTCTGCTCCAGAAACACTGGATATTGCATGCACTGCTGTGGACCCAGTGCTTCTGGACATGGAAATAGCATAAATATATGAATTGAATGAATAAAATTGTAATTCACTAATATAGTTTCTAAGTTCATACTCATACTCGTGAATGAGTGCTGCTTGTAGGGACTGGTCTGCTCTTATCACTACGACTGATTTAATCTTATTGTGTTTTTATATTTGAGCCTAAATAAATTAGTGCTGGTTGGTAGTTTGTATTCACACATTTCGACTTGTAAAATGTGAACTTACAAGGATTGTTTAAAAGAGCAACACACAAGTTTCTTGCTTATTCTTCTTGTGATGAGACAGCTTTCCGAATAAGCGGTAGATTTAAAAAAATGTTGACTATTCAAAAGTACTTAAATTAAGTTTATTTGAATAAATGATTTTCTATTCTATTCTAGTTGTTTACTAACATAATATGGATACATATCCAAAATAAATAAAATAAATATATATAGGTATATGTGTATTGGCTGAGAAGGAACAACAAGATGAATAACAATATGAGCGACCTGAGGCGCTCACACACTACCTAGGCCAAGCTAAGCAGAGCTTATGTTATGGGTACTAGACAACTGATATAATAGATAGATGTATCTTTTGTAAGTCCTTAAGTCCTCGAGTGGCGACCACGGACCGGAAGACGCAGTGTGGGAAGGCCTCCAGCAAGGTGGACCGACGATCTGGTCAAGAATGCTAGAAGGCATTGGATGCGAGCAACGCAGGACAGATCATCATGGAGATCTTTGGGTTTAAACTTTCATCCCCTATTTTTTACACCCCTAAAGGTAACAATATTACAAACTTAGTCATATTTATTTACATTTATGAACAGCTTAAAAAAAAGTTTCATAATTCTAGTTTTAAAAATGACTATACTTCCATCCAACCCTTCATCTCCCTTTTCAACCTCTTACAACCCTTTATTCACGTTAAAAATAAGCCTATGTCCTTTTTCAGGGTCTAGATTATCTGTGTACCAAATTTCAGGTTCAGTAGCTTTGGTGTGAAAGCGAAACAGACAGAAGTACGCATTTATAATATTAGTAAGGACTAACAATCACATAAGTATGTAAACATAGTAAAATGTCAAGAATATAGGTATTAGAATAATAACTTGCATCTCAGTAAAATTAACTGCTATATTACTGCAAGCATGGTTTATTACCACCATAGTTTATGTAAGCTCTGCATTGTAATAATAAACTAAAAAATTAGATAAGAGATAAAAATAATTCATTACTCCTTAATCTATTGTTAGAACTTCACAATGTTTGATACAACTGCAGCATTATTGACATAAGTATGTACATAACACTACTAAATTAAATTAGTACACTTATTATATATACCTACTTACAAAGCTACTTCATGACAACATATATTATAGGAACATATAAAGATGACAATTACCATGTCAATTATGGAAATAATGCAAATTCCAGCTTCCAACAGCTACGACATTCTTTGTCGAACTAGTTATGACGCATTATCAAGCATGCCCGTAAATTTGTATTGTTGTGTAATAACAATTTCAAACTCACCTTCCACGCGAAATATCTTGGATTTAATGGCAAATATAGTGTCGGACGGCGACACTGTCATTTCAAAAGCGGTCCCCGTGAGAGTCTCCACCAACACTTCCATTGTGGGCTGACTCGGACCCTCGTCCTCGAAACCTTTGGATCTATTGGACAGTCTCTCTGGGCATCCATGTTGTGACATTTCACACGCGGTACACTATAATTTACTACCTGACCAGCATCTCACTTCACTAAATGTAAATTTATATACTAAACTAGGATGTTACAGACAAGCACCGAGGACAATCACACGATGACGAAGTAAATAAAGTTGTGTCGTCAATTATATACCGATATCGAACATATTTATTGCAGTTGTTTTGTGGTCACAATAAAGCAAAACAAATAAAATTTAATGAATCTATTACTAACAGCAACAAAAATAATATTACACAGAAAGAAATTCTTCGTGACAGAACAGAGATTATTTTTTTTTTGTTGACTGATGATGGATGTTAAAAATTTAATTGGCGTTTGATTTTTGAATTGAATGATTCACAATCACACCACACTTCTAGTTAAACGTGTCGGAAATCTTGTCTATGAAAATATATTAATATAGAAAGTTACGTTAATCTTTTCTCTCTAATAAGAAAAAGCAATTAGGTATAATTAACTATTATATTTAACAATATTAATAATTTAAATTTTTTCACCGAAAAAAAAAAGACAAATAGAAAACAAACTTAATATTTTTTATTTACTGTTGGCAACATTTTATTGTTTATGACAGCCGTAGACGGAAGTTACCTTTTCTGTCATAGATTGTCTATGCTAATAAATTCTTTTCCGTCGTTCTTCGTTTACTGAATCGGAGGTTAGAAACATGGTGCGTAATCTTTTTTAATTGAAACGCTAATTTAAAGTGAAAACGTATCTTAATTTCTTCCAAAGTTATAATCGCAATGATCTTGGCAGTGTTTTAATAAATTTATTGGAAGTTGGGTCGCACAGGCCACATTTTTATGACATGAATTTTTGGAACATGTGGCCTGAATGCCGAATTCTGTTCTTTTTCAGACTCGCAAACGCCGCAATGGAGGACGTGCCAAGCATGGCCGTGGCCACGTTAAAGCCGTGAGATGCACAAACTGCGCTCGGTGCGTGCCAAAGGATAAGGCTATCAAGAAATTCGTTATTCGTAATATTGTAGAAGCGGCCGCAGTCAGAGACATAAACGAAGCTTCCGTGTATGCCTGTAAGTTTTCTAGGTAGCCTATCTGACGTATAATTCATAATTGGAATCAAAATATTCTTTTTTTGTAGTATAAAGAGTTAGTCGAAAAAGTACACCAAAGAGAATGCCAATTACAATTTTATTATTACCCAGTAATTAATACATGTATCATAATAATTTTAATAGCAATCGTGATATTATTTATTACACTGTTGCTATTAACGTTATTTGGTTGTTTGTATTCCACTACATATCCTACTTAAAAACGCAAAGTTACAACAATTATTCAACTATAATTTTTCTAGTGATGAAACAGCTTTCCGAATGAAATGTAGATTAAAAAAAGTGAAATTATTCAAAAGTGCTTAAATGTTAGTTTATAGAATTTTTTATTCCCATTAAACCAAATATGATTGAATTTGTTCAAAAGATAGATGACTGATAATCTATTGTTATTTATAGGTACTATATTTTTGTTACTTTTTTTAAGTTAAACAAATGTTATAATAAAGTAATCTAAATTATTTTTATAATACACTAGAAATAAAAAGAATTTTGTAATTGCAATAATTTGGTTATACACTAAATATTGTAACAATTGAATTTACTTTTTAATGTTTTCTTCATAATGGACGACAATGGTATGGGGGCGCCTGCGATGATGGTTTACATTGGTAGGCCACCAATAGCGCATCATAGGATGAGCCTGAAGTCAGGGCAGATGTTGTGGCCAATTCATTTGGAATTGGGTATGGTTTCCAGGAGGGATCACATAGATGTATCTCTATCAATGGAGCCACATTACTAATAGAAATATTAGAGGGTTGGAGGGATTCTCTTTCACTGATGCACTTCTAATATATACTGTTAGCACAGGTTGATGCACTATTGCATTATCATCCATTAAAAAAACTTTGCAGTACATAAATTTGAATGTGGCAGTAGACTAAAAAAAATACTCAAAGAAGATTAAATTTGAATAAACAGTTTTCTAACAAGTAGTTTTTTAAACAGTAGTCTGTTCTATAATTAAAAAAAAGTTAAAATTAATCTTTGGTTTATTTATAGTATTCAATAAACATTGATTTAAAAAAAAATGTTAAAATCCATCTTTTGTTCTTTTTACAGCATTCCAGCTGCCCAAGTTATATGCTAAGCTTCACTACTGCGTGTCATGCGCTATCCACAGCAAGGTTGTCCGTAACAGGTCCAAGAAGGACAGACGCATCCGGACGCCACCCAAGAGCACATTCCCGAGGGACATGGCTCGTCCCCAGAATGTGCAAAGGAAGTAAATTTTAAAATAAAATTTAAAAATCCAACTGTTTGACTTTTATTTAACAAAATTCTTATAATTATTACCTATTTAATAATGTTACACATTTAAAAATGGGTGAAGGAAATACTATGAAATCTTCACAGACCTACCTATCTACTACCTAATTTAATACATTGCATTACTTCCAGTGGTTGTGAGTTCAATTCCTTGTTTAAATACAAACATTTGTATTGATGAGTATGATTGTTCCCATTCGTATAGGTGTCTTCTACATATATTTATTTATAAATGTGTGTATTTATTTACAAAAAAAGCATTTATAGCAAAGTATTTATGTCAGTAGCTCAATGACCACTATTGATCCCATAACAAACTGCTTAGTTTGGGACTAAATGCCTCTTACGAATAAATGAAATAATACACATAGGATGAAGTGTTTTTTTTAATACAAGTACAAGTCGTTTCACCAGATCTAGTCATTACTAGTATAGCGATAAACATATATAATCTGAACGGAAATTTTTGAATTCAAATCTTTAATTTTTTGTTATAAATGGACAAAGTAATAGCTACTTGATAGATCCTACATGCAGGTCAACCTGTTGCGTATATTCTTAACAATAGGTTGTACTGACTTATCCCTATTAATAACAATCCCGATTTATCCATTCTTACTATCTTTTTTTTATGAATTTTATGGGAATGGTGCACCAGTGGATGATGAGCATGAAGTCAGGTAAGTTGGTCCGTCGTGACAAATTCACCAAGAATTTATCACGATGGTTTCCAGAAGGAACCGCTTGGAGTTCAACCTGACATTATTTTCTCATTTCTTGTGAATCACTAGCGATGACCTAACTGATCCTTCATCCTTATCTAATAGTCTATGATTGGTACCCCACCAGCACCATGGTAATGTATTAAAAAATACGTTTATTCGTTGGATGTTTATCATTTACCGTATCAACCTGACATGGTGCACAGCTAGCAATGGGTTCACTAAATATGTGATTTAGTGATTCCATTGCACTAACAATTCCCTTCCCCCCTTAGACTGATCGTTACGATTATTTTTTTAAGCGACTTATAATAATTTTATCGCGTTTCAGTCGGTGATTTCAGGGAATAAAAGACCTGCATTATAATTTGGGTCCCTTTGTTGGCGGGATCCTGGATGTAATGCCCAGAGTAAAACAATGAAGTGAGGAGCTGCTTGCGATATCTTATACATCGGAAACTGCGAAACTTGGCAATTTTCAAATAAAACAAAAGAATGCAATTACAATAATTATATTGAATGAATATAACAACTATATAGAACACAGTTCACAATATTAAACAGTTTTTGTAAAGAAAGAATTATATGTCCAAATCTATAAGAATTTATTATTCAATTCCATTGATTGGTAATATTAAATTGAGAACTGGTATATCTTAAAACAGATTATAACTAAATACTGTTATCAGTTTTCGAGTAGTGGGGCACAAGATGGCGGCTTATGAACAGCGTCTCTGACAAAAAAGGCATTATACGAGCAGCCCGCGAACGGTACGGACGTGTTGTGCGCGTGTCTAATAATATAACATATAAAAAATTGTCCTAAACTGTGAAATAATTGGCTTATTTAGACAGCGACCTGGTTATGTAATGTTGCTTGCATATGCTTGGTAAAATTCATCAAGCCGGATAGATACATTAGACTGGTTTGTGTAAGTTTTAAAGAGTGTGTAGTCATTTCGTCGATCGTTTGTCCCAAAGGTGTAGGAATATGTCGCAAGTGATTGATACACATATTGTGATTTGGATTTTGCTGCAATTGGCAAAGGGGCCGTGCAATCATGTGATTGCCCTTTTTAAGGATCCCACACCTCGTGAAGCGGTTTAAAATCATAATAGTTTTAAATCGTTTTTAGCAACTTTACGCAACCACGTCGCAAAGCGTAGTATTATTGCTTTTATTTATAGATATACAAACAGAACTATTTAGAAATATCTTCACTACGTGTGATTATTGACAAGAGAGGAGTTGTAATTGTCACACCATTAGCTAGTGTACATATGTACGACGTCTCTAATGCTATGTCACATACTAAAATAAAGATACAATTTTGTAATGATTCATTTCCATTTAAAATCTGTAATAAAATGTAAAATTTGGAAATGTGACATAACGAAACTTACGACTCATAATACCTTGTCGTACAGTGTCACACTTGTTGACCTGCTGTGTAAAGTTTTTTTTCTCTATTTTAATCGGCGATCAGTCACAAGGCTATAAGCAGATGTATTGAGTGCTGCATGATTTGTAGGTGAAGAGGTCAGCACCACTTCTGCCTTTCTATAGTATATTCAGTGGCGTAGCTACCTAAGGGCCTACCTGTAATGTAGAGCCCCACTGCTGAGCAGTGGGCCTCTACATTACAGGTACCTCTTTTTTTGATTTGCCCCAGGGCCCTTGATTACCTATCTATGCCACTTAGTATATTCCTTCTCATCAGTCTCTAGACTGCGTGAGAAGGTTCTGTAATGTGTTACATGTTTTGTGACGACAGCCTCAGTGTCCAGGTCCTGCCTGGTCTTGTACTAGTAAAACTATTGATTCAAAATATTAAAGCACAAATGTTGTTACACAAGAGTAAGAACTATCAAAGATAATTTATATGGCAAATGTTTGAAAGTGGAGTTAATATTATTAAAATATACTACATTAGATTTAATAGTTGGAATTTCTTTTCCTAAACATTTCAGTTAAGCTGCAGTACATGTTAACGAACTATCAAGGACCCTTGATTTTGTATATGGTTTGTGGGAACTTCGGAGCACCCGGTTTCTCTGCAGTCTCCAGTGCTTGCTTTAGATTCTTCTCAAACACTTTCTTGGCATCACAGAAGCCCTGTTTAGTTTTACCGAAGGAGTTTGGTCCAGCCGAAGTAGGTGTTTCACTGTAATAAACAATTTGTTTAATTAGTAGTAGAAAGAAAATCTTGTATATATAAAAATAGATTAAAATATTCAACTATAAATATAAAGTTGTTTTAATTTTTTTTCTAGCTTTTATTCTGCAATTAAAAGAAAAGAAATTTCTTTGCTTTTAATATAGAAAATTACATAAGTTTAGTATTACAACTGTTGACTTTAATTTTGGAGCTATACAAATTTTACATAATTTGTTCAGGTTGCGATCACTGATCAGATTTTTTGTTTTTTTTTTTTCAATAGCATATGCTGGTGGTCATTCTATTCTCCCAAATTTGAATTTAAATGAAATTGTATTATTGTAAATATGTACAACATATAAAAAAAAATACAAGCTGAGTTTCTTGTCAGTTCTTCTCATCTCGAAATCATTCCGAACTGACAGTAGATTTGACATAGCATAAGAGTCTGTAATAGACCTACATGAATAAAGATATTTTGAATTTGAATTTAATTTAATAAAATGTTACATCTCACGAATATTATGAAAGTTTGTGAGTATGGATAGATTTAAGTTATCATTTCAAGCAATAACTACAGAACGGATTTTGATGAAACTTTAGATTAATATAGCTTAATAGAAATAGCAATAATCTTTATTTAAATAAACTTAATATAAGCACTTTTGAATAGTCACATTTTTTTGCTTATACATCAGAACAACACATAGGTTATAATTTAAAAATATATGCTGCAATTTAGGCCAAATATAATGATAAATGTCAAGTAAGTCAAGATTATTTGTCCAGGGTTATTTATTTATTATTACATCTTCTCACTTACTCTATCTTCACAGAGTGTACACAATATTGCTGTCTTAATATATATAATAAAACTTACCGGCCAATATTTCTCATCCTCATCCTGGCTTCAGCGGGCATCTCTTCAGGTTCCTCATCATCATCATCATCGTTGAACACAGATGCTATTTTCGGCTTCGCAGGCCCAGCAATTGGTTTAGTCGGTTTGGTAAGGTTCATCTTAATTGGAGCTTTGGGTTTAGTGAAACCAATGGATATTTTGGAGATGCGCGGAGGTGGTGGCGGAGCTGGCACTTCCTCATCAGAGTTTTCCCAATCATATTTGCTTTCCACGCTTTGTTTGTCTACAAAAAGATTGAGAAATATGCAAACTAATAATTACCATTTATGTAGGGTAGCTGTCATCTTGGTAGTGATAGTAAAAAACATAGCCAACTGCCATAGATATAGAAGGTTGGCGGAAGATGGAGGAGACTTTTACCTGAGGGGGGGCACATAATAAGAAAAAAAAATGATAGACTTTTCAAAGTACTGTTTACCATTCCAATGCATTAAAACTATATAGAGGCTCATATGAAAAGAGCTCAATTCCTTATCAGTTAGCTAGTTAGATAGTTCTTAGCTTGAATGCATTCCGAATTGACAGTAGTTTATAACTTATCATAAGAGTGTAATAAACCTACATGAATAAAGATATTTTGATTTGATTTGAGAGGGCTCTAAATTTAAAGTTACAATTCATTTTTGTTTTCAGTTATCTACAATTAGTAATATCTGTTATATGTGGATAGGTAAGTCTCGAGGTTTTATATAAACCATTTGACAATTGCAAATACGTAACACATATTTGCTATGTAAAATCAAAATATTTTGAATATGATAATATAAAAATTAACGATACCTTCGTAATGTGGTGATTTCTCATAGCTTCTGGATTGTTCTGATGAATATCTACCGCTCCTGGACGGTGGCGAGTACTTCCTTCTAGGTGATCGGGAACGTGAGCGCGATCTCCTCTTCCCTCGACCTTCCCACCGTTCCTCGCTGCCGTACGCCCTAGAATCATCACGCGTGGATCGAGACGACCCTGCCAATGCGAAAACACTGGCAAAGATAAATAAAAATATATATAAATGAGCAAAATATTAAAAATTTTGCAACAAAACTTAGATTATTAAATTATTGTGTTTAAAATATTCCATGCCATTTGAATACCTTTGTTGTAGTCGTGATAACGACTGCTCATTGTTTAGCTATTTGCTTGATTGTTCTCATTAAAATGTATGCAACTCGGAATACTTATTTCTAAATAAAATAGGGTTTTTCTTTAGTATTGCGATTTAAGGGAAATGAAATATTCCATAAAATTTACTCTATTATCTATGTTTGCTTTAAAGATGCGTCCACAGATAGATAAAATTATTTCAACAGATGTTAAATTGCAAAATATTATATTGACTCAGTCATTCGTCACTCATGCAAGAACAATTAAGCATAGAGAAAAGCGGGCTTTGGTATTACTGACATATCTGTCAGTCAGCGAAATGACTGACTTACTAGAAGTGGTTATTTGTGGTTTTTATTTATTACTTTTAGGTTATTATTATATGTTATTATTTAAAAATTACAAATAAGTTACATTAATAGGAAATTAAAGGCGAGAAATCTGTGTTATGATGTCTTTAAGATGCTCAAGCCGCTTGATTAGGCAATTAAATAAGATTAATCTTAAAAACTGTCGATGTTATTCCGATTCATCCAGAATAAATTTTATGAAGGATAAATTAAAACATGGGCCGAATTTGAGCGAATTCATCACTGGATCGTCAGAACCTATCCTCACAGAACGTCCTAACATACCTTACTTGCCTGATAGTATTCAAGATAATTTAAAAAGAAAGGTTTTCTTCGATGTATATGGATGTCAAATGAATTTGAATGATACTGATATTGTGTGGTCTATTTTGAAAAAGGAGGGATTTGAAAGAACTAAAATAGAAGAGGAGGCGGATATATTTCTTGTTATGACGTGCGCTATCAGGGAAGGAGCCGAGACCAAAATCTGGCACCGTCTGGATCACTTAAGGGGATTTAAACGGCGTCGAGCGCTCTCCAAGTATAAGAATAGACCAGTAAAAATTGGTTTACTGGGATGTATGGCGGAGCGTCTCAAGGAAAAACTTATAGAGAAAGAGAAGGCAGTTGATGTTGGTAAGTTGGTAAGCTAAGTATTTGTAACTTGTGGATAGCAATCTCCCGAAACGCACCATTCAGTTGTCAGCCTACTATCGCTAGTTTCCTGGTCACAGAGCAGCGTCCATCTGGTATCTATTAATAGACAGCTCGAGCTAGCCCTGCCATAAACTTAACTTATATTGTATTTTGTAAGTCTGTATGGAAACATAGCTATAGTTATATATGTATCTGCTGGGTAACTATGTTTAAGTGGGGGAAAGGGATTGTTAGTAATGTGGATTGATAATCCCATTGCTAGTAATGTACCATGTCAGGTTGACCTCCACGCGGTTCCCCCTGGTAACCATCGTGATAAATTCTTAGTAAATTTGTCACAATGGGCTAACTGACCTGACCTAATGCTCATCTTATCATCTTCCGCTGGTGCCCCGCCAGCGTAAACCGTTAGCAGGCGGGTGCACCATTCCATTATCATCCATAAAAAAAAAACTATGTTTAAGTACATTTCAATTTAGTTATCACAATACAATCATAGGGAGATATTGTTGTTTCATTCTAATTTCAATATGAAATTCCCCAAGGTAAACTAAAAGCAGCCTTAAGAACAGTATTGTTTATTAATATTATTATTAATTAAATAAAAGAAATAATTCTAAAGATTAAATACTGTAAGAAATATCATATCATGTTTTTTTAATCTAATTTATGTCACTGCTGTGCAAAGACCTGCTCCTTGTACCTCCACTGCTTTCTATCGAGAGCTTTAGGCCCATTATGACATCTGAGCCCTTCTCCAAAGTGTATGACTGGCCCACTCCAACTTCAGTTTAGCTTTCATTCCCACATAGGTTATCTATGTAATGGAGCTCTATCAACAATAGTTATTACAAAAAAATTACAATATGTAGAACATTAAAAAATAATAAATGAAAAGCCCTGGATAATTAATACAGAGCCCTCTAGCCCCAAGGTAAGCAGAGCTTGTCTTCTGGGTACTGGACAACTGATGTAAATACATAGATATTTTTTTTCTAAATATATACGTAATATACATAGAAAACACCCAGACTGATACAAACAGTCATACTCATGAATACAAATCGTCATAGTTATAGAATACAGATGGATCTAACAAATATTTTTTTCCTCAATGGCGCTGTTTGAAATGTGTGCACCATGCGAGAAATCGAACCCGCAACCAGCGGAAGTAAAGAGGTGTGCTAAACCATTAGACCACTGTGGCTGTCTAAGAGTAATGTATGTATATAATTTATAATTATATTATATCTACAGTGGCAGGTCCAGACAGTTACCGAGATTTGCCTCGTCTCCTGGCATTGACTGACAGTGGTCAGACAGCTGTAAATGTACTCCTCTCCCTTGATGAGACATATGCTGATGTTGTTCCCGTCCGGTTAAACCAAGACAGTGTTTCTGCTTTCATGTAAGTCATATGAATATCCTTACAACTAAAACATTTATGGCACTGTTTCCCAATCTTTTTGCCATGTCCCACCAAAGCCTTTCTAAAACTCATCGTGCCCCCTCATGTAATTGAATTGTTAACTAAAGAAACTTCATTAATAGGTTTTACGAAGAAATCACTAGAAAATTGTTAATGAAACAGTAAGTAAAATTTTAAAATATGTAATGAAAACACATTCAGTATAATTTGACATTTTATACATATACACTCTAATTCTTGGTGAAATATTATATTATCTGTGGTGAAATTTATATAGTTTCATAAAATTGATCACGTTTCGACTTGTAGCTGTGAAATATTTCTTTATTTTAAGCTAATTAGAGCTTAAAATGAAGAAATATTTCAAAAATCAAATGCTTCATGAAATTTATATAGTTTTATAAAAATGATCAGGTTTCCACATGCAACTGTTTACTACTGATCCTTTATTCTGTAACTTCTTATTTTTTTAAAATATATTACAGCTCAATAATGCGAGGCTGTGACAACATGTGTACATACTGCATCGTGCCATTCACACGAGGCAGGGAGCGTTCTCGACCGATTGCCTCCATAGTGGATGAGGTGCGTCATCTCTCTGATCAGGGCGTGAAGGAAGTTACACTGTTGGGCCAGAACGTGAACAGTTATAGAGATTTGTCTGGTCAGAGTGAAAAATTAGATACACATATGGCGAAAGGTAAATATAATATGTCACTGATATAGCTTTTCGTATTTGCAAGTTGAAGTGGAGGTGGGCAGATCATATCTGTCGCAGAACTTATGCTCGCTGTAGACGTGTTCTAGAGTGGACATCGCGAATTCGCAAACGTAGCGTACATTCCGCAGCTAAGTGGAGTGACGATATACGTACGGTTGCAGGTAATAACTGAAAGAGAAGGGCTGAAGATCATGGCCAGTGGCGTGCCTTTGAAGAGGCCTATATCCTCCTGTGGGCTGCAGATGATGATGAAATGTAATATGATGAGGGAAGGAGACTTTTAGTAATATGCACTAATAACCCCATTCATAGAAATGTACCAAGTTAGGTTGATCACCAAGTGGTTTCCCGTAGAAACCATTGTGATAAATTCATTGTGAATTTACCACGATGCCCCGCCAGCGTAGACCGTTAGCGCAGGCGGGTGTATATAAAAAAGATCTGTGCTGTTAGAGATAAAGTATGTAATATGGATAGGTAAGAGCATTAACGGCAAATTTTATTTTTTGGTTGAAATATTTTTTATTGTACTTCGGTATTTTGACTACTGTTGTCTCAGAGCTAATTTGATTGGCAGGAAATTCTAGTCGTATCGTAATTCATTATAAGTATTAGAGATGGAGTCTGGTCGGGCCTGGAAAGGATTGCCTCCATTTAAAACCTGGAACCCAACCAGGAGGGGGTAAAAAGAAGATAGCTCAGTTTTGAGATGAGGTTAAGTAGGGATGCGTACAATGGCTAGCTTGCATAAGGTAGAAATAAGGAAAGACTCACAGTTGGTGGCTGGGGCGATCTCTTGAAGGCTTGATTTCACTGGAACTGATGCAGAAGCTTGTCTTCCAAAGCTTAACTACACTTATCACTGCCTAAGGGCTTGCCCAGCACAAACTGTTATTAGCTATTTAAATTAGTATATTGTTATTTAAATTGAAATACTGCCGCCATTACCGCATCTCGACGCAAAGTTCTGTTGCGTATTGAAAGAGCCTGTGACATGTAGAGCCATTGTGAATCGATGAGGGATAAAAGGTTTCTTGTACTGGCGCATAGATGGCACCGCTAGTTTAATATTCGGATACTTGGGAATAAGGAATGCAAGCCAGCACAGAGTCTATTTTTTGAGTCTATCTGTGTTTAGATCGAATTCGCGGAAGCCCGTATTATTCATAATAACATATTAATAATTGTATATATCTTTTCTACGGATGATGATGATGGGAATGACATTCCCCATAAGATACAAAATAAAGGAACATGACATCACATTCCCGATGTCTCGGGATCGGATCGTCACATTCCGGGAATAGTCAGAATAGAGATCGAGAGAGTCGATTTACTTACCTCATTTTGCTATTTTATTTAACTTTTAGGCTTTAAGACCGTGTACAAAAATAAAAAAGGTGGTCTAAGGTTTGCTGATCTGTTGGACAAAGTTTCTGCTGTGGATCCAGAAATGAGGATTCGATTCACTGCGGCTCACCCGAAAGACTTTCCTGATGAGGTGAGCTATTTTTGGTGTATCTTCATATCCTAACTTCTTGTAAGGACTGGTCTGCTCTGATAACTACATCTTTTGATTTTGTTACTCAAGTAGTTATTATATTTATAGACGTTTGTCAATTTTGCTATTTGGCAGTTTGTATTTACAAAATTCTACATACTCAAGTTCCTCTCTTTCTTCAAATGATGAGTCTGCTTTCCGAATAAAAATAATATGATTATTCAAAAGTTTGATATATTAATAAATCAAATAAACTTCAATAGTCATATACATATTTTTTTAAATAGTTTATTTGAAGAATGAATATTTGTTAATAATTTGGCACACTTAGAATTTTTTGGCAGACAGAGTGTAGCATAGTGGTTGAGAATCCACTGGTCTAATGCAATAACAAAGCGCAAATGGTTGATCAGGTGCTGCAAGTGATATCGGAACGGGATAATATCTGTAAGATGGTACACCTGCCGGCCCAGTCGGGCTCCAGCGCAGTACTGGAGCGCATGCGGCGCGGGTACTCGCGGGAGGCCTATCTGGACCTCGTTGGACATGTCAAGGCGGCTATACCTGGAGGTACAGTTCATACTTGTTGAATATCAGCTTCGTTGTATGGAAGATTGTCAGCCGTTCGAGTTACATTGTTAACTCGAACGGCAATGTTGGCAATTATTCTAACAATCCGCCCCACCATATGTTTAGGACTAGATGGTGCTATATGTGTTCAATTATTCGACGAGAGTTAGTCGACGGCCGCAGTGATCTAAAGGTTTACACAATGGTTTGCACACCGCCTTACTTCCAATGATCGCGGGTTCAAATCCTCGCATAGTACGAACATTTGTGTTCTTGAATTTCATTGTTTGCGTCGCTGTGTGTTTTTTTTTTGATGATAATGGAATGGTGCTCCCGCCTGCGCTAACGGTTTACGCTGGCGGGGCACCAATGGAAGATGATAAGATGAGCTTGAAGTCAGGTTGTTTAGGTTATCGTGACAAGCTACAAAAATTTGTCATGACGGTTTCGTTACAGGGGGAACCGCGTGGTTTGGACCTGAGATGGTACATTGTTTAGCAATGGGGTTATCATGATTACATTATAACAACTCCTACCCCCCCGTCGCTGTGTTTTCTATGTATGTATTTAAAAAAATAACTAAGTTTTTAAATCAGATGTCTAGTACCCATAACACAAGCTCTGCTAACCATGGGACTAGATGGCGTTGTGTTAATTGTTCAGGGTTATTTACAAAAATGTATATAAGTATATCTGTCAGTTGTCTCGTTACACCGATAACACAAGCTCTGCTTAGTTTTCAACTAGATGGCGTTGTTTAAATTGTCCATGGTTATTATTATGATTATTATTTATAGTGGGACTCTCTACCGACATGATCTGTGGATTCTGTGGTGAAACTGAAGAGGAATTCCAGGAAACAATGTCTTTGATGCAGCTGGTCGACTATAACGTGGCCTTCCTTTTCCCATACAGCATGAGAGAGGTAAGTGTAAGACAGTAAGTATTATTGTCACAATTTAATTTTGTACTACATATTCCATACACGCAATTTTCATATGTTATTTAGTTCATTTAGTCCTAATGCGCATTCGTTCCTACTCGAAGCTGTAGCTGAAAGTCAGTGTTACCCTGGGCAAAAATTACATTGAGTTTTTTTGTATTGTGCAACAGTACAAAGAAGCTCAGTGTGATCTTATTTGCACGTTGCTTTCCCGCCGTTTTACTTTTTTAAATCAATGCGCTTCCTACTGGCTGCCAACGCGCGGTCATTCGAAATTTGATAAACATTTGTGTTTATAATACACACGTGTTTTAAGAGTTGCTTTATATATGCATGTAATTTTATAAGTAACTAACTGCATCCTCGACTTCGTCCGCGTGGAATTTGACTTTATTTTTCTAAAATAAAAGTTACTCCTTATTACATCAGCTGTCAATAAAAGTCCCATCAAAATAGGTCCAGCCGTTTCAGTGATTAGCCAGAACAAACAAACAGACAGACAGATAAAATTTGTAAAAAATGTTATTTTGGTGTATGTACCGTATTTATATACGTAGGCATGTAGTAAAAAACGATTATTTCAATATTACAAACAGACACACTAATTTTATTTATATGTATAGATAAAAAAAAAATAGAAAACCATTGAAATTACATCCACTTTACGGGAAAGTGTGTTAAAAAAAAGTAAGTAGAGAATTGCTTTCCAGAAAACCACAGCGTATCGAAGGTACAAAGATGACGTGCCGGAACAAGTGAAAAAAGAACGACACAACCGTATGGTCGATTTATACAGAAGAAAAAGTCAATTGCTGAACGAAGCCGAGATAGGGCACACGCATTTAGTGTTAGTCGAGAGTATTGTACAGAAAACTGGACAAATATTAGGCAGAAATGAATTGTACATCAAAGTTTTGTTCGATCAAACTGACATTTTGAGCCAAGATGGCGGCAAAAGGGCTGTAACTCCGGGCGATTTTGTAGCTGTCAGAATTGTTGGCGCGAAAAGTTCGTTGTTAAATGGCGTCCCTTTGTATCATACGAGTATTAGAGATTTTTATAGAGACAAAAGTTGGGGGGAGAGGTATGCTGTTAGTTTGTAAAAAAAAGTTAAATCTTATAAATATGCTCACGACTGTAATTTCAGATGGGGTACTCAGATAGATTTTGTATTGTCGATGTTGTGGGGAATGTAGCACTTGATATACTTGCAGTTTTTAGTGTGTCACATTCATAGCCCCCCCACTACTGAAGATTTTTAATATATAGAATAGTTTGTAAATATAATTAAATAGTAAGATATATGTAAATTATGTATTATTGTTAATAAATTGATTTTTAATGTTAATTTTCTATAGATATTTTATTTGGAAGCAATATAAAACCCATTGACCCGCCCCAGCTACGCCCTACTGCTCATAACTTTGTGAGTTATATATAATATATAGCCATAACATACATATATATATTGTCTGCATCACATTTTTATAGCCTATGTGTTATTCAGATGTATAAGCATATACTGTAGTTTCATCAAAATCCATTGAGTAGTTATTGCGTGATAGAGTAATAAACATCCTTCCATACATAATCACAATCTTTCGCGTTTATAATATTAGTAACACACACAGAGAAATAATTTCTCAAGAAGGTGCACTAGTTGCTGAGTTACTTTGTTACTTTCCTCGTAACAACATCTACTCTAATTAAATTACTCCCTTATTAATTAATTATACTACAGAGCAAAATTATAAGGGAGAGAGAGAGAGACGTGTCTCTCTCCCTTATAATGAGAGAAGAGACGTGTTTCTCTCTCTCTCTCTTTATAACTTCTATAGATATAGACTAACTGCTTAGATATTTTAGGGTTTCTAAATAAAACAAAACATTTAGTCGTGACACTTAAAGTGCGTTTAATCAAGGCAATCAGTATAAAACTATCGGCACATACATGTAAAACAATATTTTACATACAATGCAAAAATTTGAACATAAAAATAATAATAATAATTCAAATTTAAAGGCCCGTATACATTTGACGAGGCGTCGCAAGGAGCATATACGAAAATAGTGATTTTTTTATTATATATTGAATACTAGAGAACGTAAGATCGTTTTTAATAGATGAATATGGAATTGTTCCACCGCCTGGTCAATTGGTATACGCTGGTGCTGTTGTTTTAATTTATTGGTGTATAGATAAAACGAAAAAGACTAGGTAAAATATTCAGAAAGTATCGGCGCACAACACTAGCAATCGGCTCGCTGTCGGCCCAATCCGGTTGAGGTTGACAGCGAGCCGATTGCTAGTGTTGTGCGCCGACATCAAATTGTATGCGCACGTCATACGTAGTGGACGTCGAAAAGGGTAAAACTCCATAAAATCCAATCACAGGTATTTACGTGTTTTGAGAATGTATCATTTTATAATATTATCCTACTGCTTGGATCATGAAGATATCTACGAAGTGTGGGCGAGCCAATCTCAAACGGATTGGGGCGACAGCGAGCTGATTGCTAGTGTTGTGCGCCGACAGAAAGTATTCACTTCAGAATAATGTATCAAAACAAGAATGTAAAATTAAAGAACTATAAATTCAAATACAAATTTAGAATAAAAAAAATACATTTCTGATTAGCCAGTTGCAATAGCTGGCAGTGAAGGATGATAGGATGAATGTGAAGTCAACTCAGTTCCCGCAGCATGCCGAATTCATCAGGAATTAATCATGGTTAGGACAGATTGGTGTGGGAGAAGGTCTGGCCAGCATTGTATAAAAAACGCAATATCTTACTTCGCACTATTTAGAACGATGCATTAGCAATGTCCTACCAGATTTATCTGGGCAGGAAGAGAAACACGCGGTGAAGGTGAGTGATGACGTATGTTGGTAAGAGGGCCATTTAAACTTACACCCGGATTACAAGTCCCGGGAACTGCTTGGAGTTTCCTTTTCTGCCACATGGACCCGGAAACCGCACAGTGAATCCATGGAATGGTAAAAGTTCATATTTAAGCAAATATACTGCTGGTGTAATGAACGCCTTGCTAAGTGTATACGCGCCTTAAATTCTCGTACATTTTTACAATTATTATAATAGAAACTTATTTTTTTTAATATATTATATCTAATTATTATATAATTATGATACATGGCATCAATATTTCTAGTCAAAATTTGTACTTTATTTTATTACTTCGTATATTTAATGGTGCCTATTGAAAATTACTAAACCAGATTGATCAATTCCTGTGCACTTTCTTTATTGACAAAAAAAAGTTAGTTATTCAGAAAGTTGGGAAATAAATATATATATATCTATATTTTTACTAATGTTACAAAGAGGTAGTGTGAGTTTGGATGTCCGAAATATTTATTTTAGTTGGATTTATTTTTAATTTAGGTCAAAGGTCAAATTAAAAAGATCATCAAATCTTTGAAAGTTAAATTAATTACAATGTTCTAAAAAGAGCACAGAGCCGTATATTATATAGAATATACATGCTAAATTTATTATTACAAGTATACAAATATATTAATATATTACAAAAAGTAATAATTTATCAACTATTGCATAAATATATTTATGAGCAACAAATATGAGTAATATCTCTTAACAATGTGTTATTGAGTGGGTATGTAATTTATGAGTAACAAATATGAGTATTATCTCTTAATAATGTGTGTTATTGAATGGGCATGTATTGAACTAAATTATGGTGAGATTTTAAATAATTGTCCAAACTACCCTCAGTTTGGACAATGTATCGAGGAAGGCTATATGACATTACGCTACGACCAATAGGAGCAGAGCTGTAATGAAAAATATTACGAAAACCTGAAGAAAATATGCAGAAAAAGTTGCACGACAGCCAGCTACTAGCTTATATAAATATGAAATGTAAATTACGCAGTGACACTACGATTATTATCAGTAAGCAATATGAATTTTCTATGATAATAAAGTAACAATTTTTACTCGCCACATTGAGTAGGTACAGCGCGTAAGCTAGCAATCTGGTTTAGTAATATTTTAACATTTGTAAGTATAGTGCCTGTGACTTAATAATGATTTTGAGTATTTTAAATTGACCGCTAAACTATATCTATTTGCAGTGATATATATTGCTGTCCCTTTTAATTCTTTGTGTTTGACAGAGATAGCATCATATATTTACTGTTTTGCTATCCCTTTTAGTTCTTTGTGGTTGACAGAGATGGCATAATTTTCTTGTATTGCTATCCCTTTTAGTTCTTTGTAGTTGACAGAGATGGCATTATAATTTTCCTGTTTTGCTATCCCTTTTAGTTCTTTGTAGTTGATAGAGATGGCATCATTTTTCCTACACTGCCGTAAATGTGCTAAGACCATTCCGGCGGTCTGGCAACGTTTGCATTATCTGTCAATTTCAATTACTGGGGACCAAGTCAAAAGCCAGTGATAGTAGATATTAATTAAATTGAAAAACTTTCTTAATTAAAGAAAGTGGGAAATTAGAAATAAAGTAAAGTCATTTTCATGAGTAGTACTTACCTGGTTTTACAAATACTGTATTCTACAATTACAGAATATTAAAGTACAGGATAAACGCTTTCGTTTACTTTTATATAAGTGGGCCGTTAGATCGATTACCAATGCTGTTATATAAATTTAAAAAAAAATGGTCTGAATTAGGCTTGTAGACTTGTAGACTTTTTTTTTAATTTATCAGATAATGCAAATGCTGCGGTAGTGTGGTAAAGAACTGTCTTAATTTTTTAATACTTTGTGGTGGTGTTAGAATACATAAAAAGTGATATTATACTTAATAATAAATGAATACACTTTTGGTGTAATGTTTTAGGGCCAATTCCCATGTCCTCAAGGTACAGCAAAAAATGTGTTACATATTTTTCAACACACTTGCTCGTAAAGTAGATCTAATTACCCTGGTTTTACTTCATAAAACACGCGTGCGTTATAAACAGTGAAGTTATAGTCCATAACAGTACTATTTGAATTTTTTTTAACAAAGTTTGTACTGACCACCGAGCGGTGTCTGCCAGTACGCAGCGCGCAGATTTAAAAAAGTAAAATGGCGAGAAAGCAACAGTGCATCATAGTTTTATGGTCGAGGTTATTTAAATCGAGTGTGTTGAAAAATATTGTACGATATACGTGTGTATTTAACGCACTCGACTCTATTACGCCTTCGGCTTCGAAATTTCGCCTCGTGTGTTATAACCATCATAACATAAGTATATACATAAGTATGTCGTAATATACTATTTAATTTATTCAGATTTTATATTGCCTACGAATGAGAATTGTCGCGAATTCTTATGGTATTTGTTTCTTTAAGAAATTTGTAGCGTTTATGCGTCAGTTCCATAACATTTTCCTCAAAATTTAATTACGATTTTTTAAACAAATATTGAATAATTGCACCATTACTAGATTTCAATAGTGGATAGGCAAGTAATATTTTCTTACTAAATTCTGCACTTACATCATATGGGATTTCTAATCAGTGAACACTTTTATCCCTTAAGTTAATAACAATTTATATGTACATGAAATTATTGGAGTTGTCAAATGTCTCTGTGACAAGACACTAAAGATCGGAACTGTATGTAACAATATTATAAATCATAAAAATTTAAGTTATGCACATATTTTCATTTCAGTATCATTGATGATTACGCATTATTTCTCATGCTGATTTGGTTCTTCAATTTAAAGTTCTCAATCAAATACTACACTAAACTGGATGCACCAAACTGTCCTCCTACTTTACCATTGGGTACAACGTTCACTCTTTGTCCAGAAAGGTTATCAGAACACTCGACGTGTCCAGAAAGACTTGGCGATGGTCCCTGAGAACTTCCATACACCTTCGTACTATAGCCTGAGTCGTTATGCGATTCCCTATCTGTCTGGCTTTGAGTTTCTGTTAAATGAGTATTGATGGCTAACGACTGAAGCCGACTGTGCAGCAAATTGTGATCAGGAGTTGGTTTCCTGTTCATGACATGTGGGTTTCCTCTAAAATTCGGGTACATTGATGAACAGTTATCGTAGTACCCGCCACGAAAGTGATCGTTTTGATTAGCAATCTCCACCTCAGTGTTCTGATCCAAATGTTCGCTGTAACAGTGCGGTATTCGATCCATTTCTCTCAATATATGATCTTGCATCATAGCATCGAACACTCCTGTTTGATGGTGGTACAAGGGGTTCCTGTTTCTTGCTTGTATTTGGTTCTGAGGCAACCCTGACTCGTTATAATCATATTGAGCTTGACAAGGTTTATATTGAGGTAGCGGTAGACCTGTATCGATCATATCCTTATATGGCATTTGATGGTGCACTTGTCTATTAGGTATCTCGTGAAAATAAGCGTCTTTTGGAATCATCGGCCTTAGATCTTGAACATAAGGATTGTTTTGGTTCGACTGTACTTGAGGTGCGGGCGACTGAGATTTGTTAGACATTGTCTCGAAGTTAGGCAGCGGTAATGTTTGCAACAAGTTAGCATTTCTCATTGGTCCGGGTTGATTTGTGCTCCTTATAGGATTGTCTTCTTCATCGCTGCTTTCAGAATGATTTCCGTTGTTATCTTTTGGTGGAGTTTGGAAGGTTTTTCTCGTTGGAAATGGTATTAGGTTATGCAAACTGAATCGTTTGCTTTTCGGTGGCTTTTCTTTTAACACTGGCGCGGGCCTTTGAGGTTGTTGTGGCATTTTTAGTATACCAGGTGAAGGTTGTTTATTTATTCGTGTTATAGGAAGTTCTTGTGCTTCGGTGGGTAAGGGTTTTCTAGTTATATGTAATGGATCAGGAGACGTGCATCTTTGTTGATGCTCCACTTGTGCTACTAGCTCTTGCACGGATTTTCTTGGCTCTCTTTCTGCCTCGTTTTCCTCTCTAGGGTAATTAGCTTGTTTACGAAGTCTGACATATCCATCCTGGGATATATCTAAAGATTTCGTATTACCTCTTGCTATGACATCGGACATTTCTTTTTCAAGCATAACTCTTTTCCGAATATCGTCTGCAGTTCTTTGAAGCACTTGGCTTTTCCATACGGGTATATTTTGAGAATTCTCTTTCGAGATTCTTGTTACATTATCTCCTTCGGAATCGCTTGCTTTATAATCTGATTGTCGGTTACTACTTGGAGATCTTACGTTGGATTGTCGACTAGGTGAGACATACCGTTCATTATAAGTTTCTACTTCCATAGAGACAGGTGATTGAGAAACTGATACTTTATTAGCTTTTACATGAATTTCAGCTGTTACGCTTTGTAAATGACTACTATCTCGAGTGGGACTCGTATGTGATATTGGAGTATGCGGAGACCGAGAACTTCTACTAGGCCCAGCATCTAAATGGTCACTACTTCTAGAGTTTTTAAGCAATAGTCTACGTCTCGGACTTTCTGGCGATTTTCTACTATCTAAGACCTCGGTGCTTTTGGACGTTATTTTGCTTTTTTCATTCAATTCTTTGGCATTACTCTCGTACTGTTCTGTATTCTGATTGAAGCTCTTTATTATTTTGTGAACTTTACTCCATTCTTCTGCATGCGTATCTAGAAGCTCCAAACTTCTGGTCCGTTTTAGTGGTGCTATATCCAAGGAACCCTTCGGACTGTAATCCAATTTTCTTATTCTTTCCGATGCCCTGAACATCATGCCACGAGTTATCCAATGTTCCAAATGTTTGTGCCTCTCTTTACATAATGCCCGTTCTGCTGCAACAAACCTCGTCAGCTCTGATATTTGTCCTTGAGTCTTCATTTCCAAATCTGTTACTTTCTGGTCTAATCTCTCGTGAGCTCGATCTATGTGACGTTTCAAATCTTTCTTGTCTTCGTTCAACTTATCCTCCATATGCTTAAAGAATGGTGCACAATAGCAGGTATACCCAGCACCAATGGGCCCTTTTTTAATATTTCCAGCCAAATCCAAATAATATTGCTCACCTTTTTTCAGTGGTTCGGTGGGTAGAGAGCTTAGTTTTGGTTTGGGGAAGAATTTGGGATCGGGATAGTAATGACATCCGTATGGTGACCATTGGATTGTAGGTGGAGTTTCGAAGTGTACATTCTTCTTTTTCTTGTCCTTATTTTTCTTCTTTCCATCATCAGGTTCGTCTATAGTTCTCTCTTTGCTTTTATCCCTTTGTTTTTCTTTCTTTTTCGTCTGCTTTGCTACAGGCGTATTAAGTATACTGATGATTTCCTGAAGATCTTTTCTGGTCGCGATATCTCTTGCTGTTTCTCCTTGATGATTTCTAAGGGATTTATCGCAGCCGGCTTCTAAAAGAATTCTGGTTAGTTTTCTCCTGCCCATGGCTGCTGCAATGTGAAGTGCTGTGTCCCCGTTCTTGTTTTGCTCTGATACTCTACATTGTGCGGAGATGAGGATGCGTGTAACTCCGGCGTGGCCGTACCGAGCGGCCGTATGGAGTGCAGTGTCGCCATACTGAAATTAATAATGTAAAAATTATTGTAAGCAGTAGATTTCTTCTCTAGATCATTAAGAGTTTTTAAAGTGAAGTGTTTTATGTATAGTATATTTTATTATTTTAAGTTACAAGTACAGTCTATTACGTCATCTCCTCGCTATTTCATAAAGATGACAGGACACTGATATTTATGAAAAAAATGTCACTCAAATATCAATTCATGGGAAAAGCTATAGGAGAATATGGTAGTATGCTCTGCCAAAGGTACTAGTTTGGGATTATATGGAATAGAATAGAATAGAATAGAAAATCATTTATTCAAATAAACTTAATTTAAGCACTTTTGAATAGTCATAACAATTTGTTTTTTATCTACCACTCGTTTGGAAAGCTGTCTAAGAAGAACGAGCAAGAAACTTGTGTGTTGCTCTTTTAAATAATCCTTGTAAGTTTACATTTACAAGTCGAAACGTGTGAATACAAACTACCAACAAGCACTAATTTTTTGGGTCAAATATAATCATGCAATAAGATTAAATCAGTCGTAGTGATAAGAGCAGACCAGTCCCTACAAGCAGCACTCGTTCACAAGTATGACGGATGAGCCAGCCATCACTGCGCTCGACCATATTTTAGGGAGCCCATTGACCCGGCCCACCACGCCGCCACATGTCTGGACATTTTAGTGAGCATGACTACTCATTCCACACGATCACGTCACAGCTACAAAAATTACTATATGGTAGTTACAGTATTCGCACTTTACATAAGGATGCATGCGGCAATCAATACAAAAGCCGCTACGCTATCATATATCAAGAAAGCAGTATGAAAATTAAAATTGTAACGTTGTCCGCAAATAAACTTATTCTTGCTATATATTGCTATCATCTATAAATTCATCTATCTTATAATAGGCTTTTTTACATAACATTTGTTTAATATAATAATTGAATTGCCTCTCTGTAAGATTTAGCGTAGACTCTGGCAGTTTATTATAGAATCTTACGCAATTACCATAAAATGAATTACTAACTTTGTGTAGACGGCGTTTAGGTAAAATTAGCTTATTTTTATTGCGTAAGTTTCTACTTGTACAGTCTTTAAGTTTCTTGAAACTATCTAAGTTTTTCCTTGTATACATAATATTTTCATAAATGTACTGTGAGGCAACGGTGAGGATATTTGATTGTTTAAAGCATTGACGTAATGACTCTCTAGAACCCATACCATAAATAGAACGTATGGTTCTCTTTTGTAAAATAAATATAGTATTTATGTCGGCAGCTTTACCCCATAGCAGTATGCCATAAGACATAATGCTATGGAAATAACTAAAATATACAAGTTTTGTCGTCGCCACGTCTGTTAATTGCCTTATCCTTCTAATTGCATAAGCAGCAGAACTAAGTCTACTGGCTAATTTTGAAATATGGGGCCCCCATTGTAACTTCGAGTCCAATGTTATTCCTAAAAAAACTGTATCATTAACCAAAATTACTATTTCATCATTAAGCAATAGCTGCGTATTTCCTTGTTTTACATTAGGCAGCGTGAATTTAATGCACTTAGTTTTGTTGGAGTTCAATAATAGATTATTACATGTGAACCAATTTAGTATAGCATAGATAGCAGAGTCGAGAAGTCTGGAAGCTGCTCGCAGACGAATTATGAATACAAAGGCAGCAAGAGTTATGTGTAAGGACAACGATCACGATACTTTCTACCCTTTGGCACTTCTTATCCCATTGGACATTCGGTGTACGTATAGATAATACAAAAGGTCTTCTTGGGAATGACTCACATTATTCTGATCATCGGGCGGCGCCCCCGCGAGGAGAATTTCTCGGCAGGACTGGTTATGCCCATTTTGGCAAGCGAGGTGTAGGGCAGTGAAGCCTCCCGCGTTACGCGCGCGTAGGTCCGCGCCCCCACCGGCCAGTAGCGCCACGCATCTCGAGTAGCCCTTCCACGCGGCTTCGTGTGCCGCAGTGTTGCCGTGCTGAAAATTTAATAATACTTTAGTGGGGAAAAGGGATTTTTAGTAATGCGGACTGATGGCCCTGATGCTAGCAATGCACCATGTCAAGTTTAGCTACGTGGTCCTGGAAACGATCCTGATAAATTTTTGGTGAATTTCTCTCGATGGGCTAACTGATCTGACATCATGTTCATCTCATCATCCTCCATACCATTCCACTATTATTAAAAACATACTTTACTCCTCAGAGATAGTAATACGGGAGAGCATATTTTACGCTTAAGTAATGTAGTAATGGATGTTAAACAATCCAACAGGAGGACACTCCTGATGGAAAACGGTGATTGTTATATACGTCTATGATGGCCTCGGTTTTAGCACACTAATACTTTCTATGGTCGCGGATTCGAATCCACACACGATAGAACAGTATTCATGAGTATGATTACTTGTATCGGTCTGGGTGTTTACTATGTATATTATGTATGTATTTGTAAAAGAAAACTATACCTTGTATTACCAATAACAAAAGCTGCGTAGAACAAAATCTATGTACTATGTATGCGTGCGCTCCTGACCGCGCGTAAAAGAACGTAGAAGAAGAGTGTCGTGTAAAGGTAGTTAACGGCAATGAAGAATTCTTACACTAAACTTGAGCGGCTTCTTGAGATGCGATATCCATGGTTTTTTGAAAACAATGAATGCAGCTTGCGGAGATGTGTATCGGTCAACTATTGATAAGCGACTGATAAGGATGGATTTTTTTCGGACTACTCTAATACTGTTTGCCGCCGCTGGCCTTTACAGCTTCACCGGACGATAGGGGGCGAGTGCAGATGGCACTCCAAACCCGCGGAAGGACTTATGGAGCGGCTGAAGGCCAGCTCCTGCCTGACGGATACGACTTTAGTCTGAGGGCACCACTAGGGGTTCAAACCTCGTCCCAGGCCGTCGTAATTTCGATCCTCGTTTGAATTGGATGGGGGATCCATCGGAGGGGCGGGGTGCCCGGGGGCGCCGGTGTGGAGTGTCCGGGCGCGCGCAGGCGCCCGGTTGAATGCGCGATATGGTGTATTGGGGTCGTCGTCTTCGCCGGCGAGGACGGTGTCGTGTGTGTGTGTGTGTAAAAGTGAACGATAAGGATTGAAGGGTCACGTGGGTTTATATAGGGGTACAGGGTAGTGCAACTCGCAGGTAGCGTAGTGAGTAATTTGTCCCATACGCCCTAATTGCGCAAATGAACATGTTGGTACTTGTTTTATTTAATGGTGTTGATGTTTTTTTTAGGGTAGGTTTCAAGCTTTCAAATGACATATAATTTTTATTAAAATGTTGTGTACTTTCATTTAAAACAACGTTTGAATGTAGAGCTAGCGCTTGAGTCGTGATTGCTCACGTAGTATAAAAAAAGTAGTAACTCACAACCAGGTCCTGCTTATTGGGATCGGCGCCGTGCTGCAGCAGGAGGTGTACCACTTCCACGTGGCCATCGGCAGACGCCCGCTGGAGCGCACTGCATCCATTCTGTAAAGTAACATATGGATTTCTGAATAATTTTCTGAATAAGTATAATTATTATTTTATATATATAACTCAAAGGTGACTGACGTAGTGATCTCTCAACACACAGCTCAAACCACTGGACAGAGCGGGCTTAAATTTGGCATGCAGTTAGATGTTATGACTTAGGCATCCGCTAAGAAAGGATTTTCATTAATTCTACCCCCAAGGGGATAAAATTTATATATATAACTCAAAGGTGACTGACGTAGTGATCTATCAACGCACAGCCCAAACCACTGGACGGAGCGGGCTGAAATTTGGTATGCAGGTAGATGTTAAGACGTAGGCATCCGCTAAGAAAGGGTTTTCATTAATTCCACCCCTAAGGGGATAAAATAGGGGATGAAAGTTTGTATGAAACTTTGTCAATTTTAAACCGATCAGGCTGAGACTGCATACATAAACCTACTATGACGTATGGATTATATTATATTCTTAGGGAATCCTAAGAAAGGATTTTGATAAATTCCACCCCTAAGGGGATAAATGAAGCCGCGGGCAAAAGCTAGTTATTTATATAACTGGTACTTGTAACTCAATGAATACAATTTGACTATTTATATAGAAATAAAAAAATATACCTATACTAGAACAATTAACCTGAAACTAAAAACCTTAAAAAATATAATATAATATCTAAAATATATTACTAAAAGGAGGGACTCCTTAGGCAAGGTTCCGAAGATACTGACAGTGTTGTAACTGTAAATACAACAAATACATATATATATATAGAATTTTTATTATTGTATTTATTATTATTTTTTGTCATATAATAATATCATCAGTTATAATATTTGTTATCTGTAGTATCACTGTTACATAAGCGCAAGATTATTATCATCACAACACATAAGTTTCTTGCTCATTCTTCTTGTTATGAGTCTGCATTCCGAATGAGTGGTAGAATAAAAAATGTGACTATTCAAAAGCGCTTATATTAAGTTGATTTGAATAAAGATTATTTCTATTGCATCACTCTGTTCGCAGTATAAATGTAACTTTGACTGTTAAACTAGCTTTTACTTAGTAACCTGAATGCAAACATCGCTATATATAAATAGAAATTCTTCACTTCAGTCCCTTAGAACTCTTCTTTCGTTGTTTTTGCCTATTTTACTAGCCTATATAAATAAAACTTTTAGCAATGTAATCTACATAGGTTTAAATGTAATGTATAAGTTTAATAAGGTTTTTTCAATCGTGGTTGGTTTTTTTTAACTATTCTAATGCTTTTAGGCGCAATAGTCTTTACAGCTTCACCAGACCATAGGGCGAGTGCAAAGCCAACTCCCGCCTGACGGATACGACTTTAATCTCAGGGCACAGCTAGGGGTTCGAACCTACGTTCGGGCCGTAATTTCGATCCCCGTTTGAATTGGACGGGTGATCGATCGGGATCGATCGGGTAATGTCAGTACACGAGTTATAAATATTTAAATATAATAGAATATTATAATGTATAATTCAATCTTATTATAAATGCAAAAGTTTGTATGTATGGATGGATGTTTGTTACTCTTTCACGCAGAAACTGCTGAACGGATTTAGTTGAAACTTTACAGTGATATAGCTTATACATTTGAATAACACAGCTATAAATTTCACGTGGGTACAGACAGTAAAATATATATATATACAGGGTATTAACTAACTAATACCATTAGTTTTCATATTTTTTAAGATACAAAAGCTGTTTGATAGTCGTCTAGAAAAACTTTAAATCCATAGCACTGACAATATTATCTAATTACACTAATAATGAGTGCGTAGCGATTTCTATGTTGATTATCGCATGCCTCTTACTTGTTATACTGTAATTATTTATATAAAAAAAATAATCTATTAAAAAGAGCAACACACAAGTTTCTTGTTCGTTCTTCTTGTGATGAATCTGCATTCCGAATGAGTGGTAGAATCAAAATATGACTATTCAAAAGTGCTTGTAATGAGTTTATTTGAATAAAGTTATTTCTATTTCTGTAACGAGTCGTAGTAAGGTTATTTTAGGTAGCATCTCAGTGTCGTATCAATCATTATACAAGAACTAGTCTGTTGGAATTCATTACAACAACCGACTAAGTCTAGGAAATTTAATGGTGTTTGTATGTATGTAATAATATCTAATTATGTTTGAATTTACATTTATTTTTATTTGTGGAATGCATGAATAATAAAAATTTTGAATCTATTCATAGTATGTGTAGATAATCTTATTATGGAAATTTAACTAATTTTTTGTCTGTATGTACATGGAAGGTATATGAGAAAAAGTATTTGAGTATTTTATCATTGTTACAGTACACAACATTGTTAGATTATTTGTTTGTTTGTCTCTGTATTTCTGCATGCTAATCTCAGAAACGACATGACCAATTAGAATGCGGATTTTTGTTATCTGCGTAAGGTTGTAAAACAAAATACCACAGTCTGTTCTAAATCTGCTTGAAAAAAGATTTAAATGTCATATAAAACACTTCCTTTGTATAAAAGCATACTATAAAATTGAAGAGTTCGTTAACGATGATAATGTTTTTTGTACAAAAACTTATATTCATAGCGCTGACAATATTATCTTGATTGCAGTAAGAATGAGTGCGTAGCGGTTTCTATGTTGATTATCGCATGTTTCTTACTTGTTACACTATAATCTATACATATAAATAAAATTGGAGTGTCTTACTACATGCATTATGTATATAAATACGGTACATACACCAAAATATATTTTTTTACAATTTTTACCTGTCTGTCAGTCGGTCTGTTTGTTCCGGCTAATCTCTGAAATGACTGGAGCGATTTTGACGGGACATTTTTTTGCAAGTAGCTGATGTAATAAGGAGTAACTTAGGTTACTTTTATTTTAGAAAAATAAAATAAAATTTAACCGCGGACGAAGTCGCGGGAACAGCTAGTTATTTATATAAAAAAAACATCAATTCAGAAGAGCAATACATAAGTTTCTTGCTAATTCTTCTTGTGATGAATCTGCGTTCCGAATGAGTGGTAGAATAAAAAATATAACTATTCAAAAGTGCTTGTATTAAGTTTATTTGAATAAATATTATTTCTATTTCTGTTGTGGTAGTTTCACTTTAATTTAATGCATATTTTAAACAATGTATTGTCATTCCAAACATCTCGGAAATAGAGTTTTTTTTTTTATAACACAGGGGACAAACGAGCATGCGGCTCACCTTATGGTAAGTGATTACCGCCGCCCATGAGCACCCGCAACACCAGGGGAATTGCAAGTACGTTGTCGGCCTTTTAAAAAGGAATAAGCTCTTTTCTTGAAGGTTTCAATATCGTATCGGTTCGGAAATACCATTGCTGGAAGGTGATTCCATAATGTGGTTGTGCGAGGCAAAAAGTTTCTAGAAAACCGCACGGTGGAAGACCGCCATTCATCCAGATGATCAGGATGGTATTTTAATTTCTGGCGGGTGGTACGGTGGTGAAACTCAGCAGCTTGTATTAATCCGAACAATTTCTCAGAACTCTCCCCGTGATATATGTGAGTACAACGGAGTTCAACTAATAATAAATAAAGCAGTAGATAAACTATATATTTTGTCTCGTTTTGATTCACGATAAGATACGATGGGGCCAAGGAATCATACTTATAATGCGTAGTTACATCGCCATCAAATATTGTTACCGGCCGTGATGTTTCTGCAACGACACTCGTGATGATGTACGGAACCATTATTTACGTAATAAAGGGCATTTCAAAGGATTTTCATTCTTAAAATTCAACGTATAAGGTTTATAAGAGCCCAGGATTTCAGAGGCAATTTTCGAAGAACGCAATGCTGACGCGAATGGACAATGTCAAGTTAAAGGTGTGATCACACTGTCTTTACTGACGTAAGATAATTCCTCATTTAATGTCTATGACGGACGGTAGGGAAAAAAAATTATAATGTAAAAACTTGACGTTCATAAGCGGCTAAAATGTCCTACATGAATAAATGATTTCTGAATTTGAATTTGAATTATGTTTAAAATTAATGTAGGTAGGTATAAGGTTTTTTCAAACTGTGTATTATTAGTGTTTTAGAGTGAGGCGTATAATGTATTTTTTATAATATAGGACAACGAGCCATCAGATCACCCGTCAGGTTGTTTGATATTCCAGTCGAATAAAAAAATATATTGTCTATGATTTGATGTCACACCAATAAATTTGGTACAGAATGAAGACGGACAATGCAGAACCTTCCGGACTAGGCAGAAAGACTGCATTCTATTGACATCTATCTATAGACACACATATATATATATAATATATGCATAGATATAATGAAATACAAAAATATGAATATTTAATTGTAATAAGGATTTGGTCAATGTAAACACCGCCTTAAAGGTTTAAACTCGGAACACATTGCTGCAAGCTATAAGGGATTGTTACACGAACGATTCACGGCCCTAGGCGGTGTTGTCCTGTAGTGATGTGAAAATGTCGATAAAATAGCGCCAATGTCGACATACTCGATTTATAGTCCTTGTTGATTGTTGTTTGTTACATTGATATATTTTATTCCTTCGGTGTTGTCATGTTTAGCACTTTCGTGCTGTTTCATATGAGCACAAAACATGTTGGAGATATGTTTTATATAATTATAGACAACACATTCGATGAGTACAGTAATAAAACATATACACGTTATGATAATTATAGATAGATAGTTTTAATGTCGCAAGTTCGCGTTAACTTTGACATTATTTACTGAGAGTGGCTGGAATTATATTTAATTACTTTCTAAAAAAAGAGTTCTTTAGAAAAATTGTTATGTTTCGAGCGACGGACTTGTGCCTGCGAACATAACCTTATATATTTATTTTATGCAAACAATTTATCGAAAATACTGCTACGCTTAAATAAAATTGGTATCACAGGTTCATAAAAAAATGAATATTTTTCCTAGTAATGCAAGTCTGCAAATGGTATTATA